CCTCTTTTAGAGGAAGGAGAAGAATGAGAAGAGTAAGAAAAATGCTGCCTCTTGCAAAGTGAGCACTCTCAAAAACCAATTCAAGTACTCTTTAAAATGCCCCCCTTTGACTACTCACCACACCACCACCCACACCCATGGTAGATTGTGTGTGTGTGTGTGTGTGTGTGTGTGTGTGTGCGCGCGCGCGCGCGCGTGCACGCGCACGCGCATGTGTCTGTCTCCCCAGATGGCTATTGAAATCTTAATTTATATGTCATTGTGTTTCTGAAAGACTATACCTCTTCACAATGGGATGATTTTTATATGGAAACACAAATATCCTAAAAATACAAGAAACAGAAACTTTGCCTTATTAGGTTTGATATACTGAAGAGGGCATTGAACTCCTTGGTTTATTCTTGTTTTATTTGTTTGTTTTCCCATTTACTACTTTGTGGGAAGTGGATTGAGGGTTATAAGTAAGATTTGTCACTTCTATTTGGTAGAGTACCTGTAAATATATGCATTTTCAGCACATAGCAGGTGATCTACAATAGTGGTTGCATAAACTTGACTTGAATTAATTGCTGTTCATGAGAAACAAAGTAATAGATCAAAAGCTTTTTCATCATTCCACCAAAACCCAAATAAAACATTCCATGATTAGCATACAAACCAACATAAAATTTTAGAAAAGATAAAAAAAAAAAGAGTCCAGTGAGTTCAAGGTGACAAAGTCACTAGAAATAAGATTCATGAAAGCAATTAGGGGCTGTCTTTTCTTTCATACATGTTCTGTTTCATCTTTGAGGTAATCTGATCTTGGTTTCTCATGTTCAAATTTTGAGTAAAGTAAAGCAATAGACAGATCATTAGTATAGACTTCATTCATTAGCCCTTCTCTCTGACTTCACACACTAAGGTGAGCGGTAGAGGTTTGTTATTAACAGAGAAAAAAACACTATTTATTTGTCTAGATTTTTAACCTCAACTGCATTTGGAGATAGCACGGCTTGCAATTCATGGAGAAACTCCAAATTGTAGCTTCATTATTAATAGGTATGTTTTTTTTTTTTTTTACCTGCTTTAATACAATGAAGGAAGGAATCACCCACAAGCATTTTTCTTCATTCTCTGACATTGAAATTGGATCCCATCCTTTTTGTATTTTGTGATAAGGTCAAACTCAAAAAAAAAAAAAAGAAAAAAAAGAAAAACATGAAATTTAAAAGATGTCATCAACTTTGACTCTCATTGTGTGGATGGGGAAGTCAAAATTACAGAAGCTGAAAAGAATTCCATTTTTTAACCATGATAAGACCTTCAGGGTATCCTCTTCAAGAACCAAATGAGGCTAGATAAGCATTCAATACTTTGGATAAAACTCACACATATGATATTGTGATATATGTCTTCAATCCAGGTACTCAGAATGCTGAGTCAGGCTTTCCCCTGCAGGCCTAATTTCCACTGCCAGAAATTTTGGGAGGGAAGAAGGAGGAGCATCTAACATGTACACATGCTCTCTACTCTTCCTTCTCCATCCTGCTGCTTCTCCTCATCCACATGGCAGTGTCCTTTAGTCAGCCCCATGGAGGCTTTGAGCTGCATAGTTCTAATAAGTAGCTGATTTTCACTGTTTTAACCAAAGGTGTTCAGGTGTCTGATGTGTGCTAGCCTCAGAGTTTATTCATAGGACAACCAAGCAGAGTAAAGCTTCTGGCACTTGTGGCTCTCGCTGGCTGCTGCCAGAACCATGCTCCTCAAACACTAATTAACATGTAAGAGTTGTATGGAGATCTTTTCAAGTATCAGATTCTAGATGCTATAAGTCATAGGGGAAGTTCAGAGCCCACATTAGTTTGGGTTGAGGGTCTTTATCCTGCATTCAGTTTAGAAGGAATGCTCGGATCCTATATTCAGTCTGAAGTAAATGTTGGGACCCTGTGTTCAATCTAAAAGGAAGCAGGGATCTCACACTCACATTGGGGCTAAGTCTGGGAGCCCATACTTGTAACAAACTCCCAGTTAAGGTAATTGTGGCTGATCCTCAGACTGAAGTTTACAGTGATTATTCGAAGAACTGAACACCAAGTGAAGTTCCAGAGCCTGGTGTTTGCTGAGAACCCCACAATGATACTGAACTTGTCAAATCTTCCAAGATATGTTCAACAGCAGTCAATGTTAGTTTCAATGTTGGAAGCAAGTCAAAACAATGCCACTTGTAGATATTTTTTTCCCTCAAGCTTTCCTAAGCCTTAAGACAGACAGAATGTAGGTTCCATGTGTTTTTCCTGGTTCAAAGTATGTCTTCTTTTTCCTGAGGACTCTTTGCCTGATACTGAATTATTAAGTTCGTTAAGCGTTCCTGGAAAGTACCCAAGTCATGTAGTTTATCAATGGAGCTGTCATTCCACCCTCTATCCTCTTATGCATACATAGCTTAAAGGTGATTGGCAGGAAAGACCTTAATTTTCCTAACACTTATTTTATCCAGTAGGTTCTTATGATTAACTATCTTTCTCAAAAGCCATAGAACATAGTGTGCAGACACAGAGCTATTACAGCTTTTAAAACCATTGTTAAGAGCATCTTGATGGAGGAGAAGACCATGAACTTTCCATTGATGTCATCCACATCTACCCTTATTCCTTGTGATCAATTGACCTCTAACCTTCTTACACTTTCATTGCAGACTTCGCTTTCTGGGCTGTGCTTTCTCTTATCTATATATAGATACTATCCATCACAGGCTCCTTTTCCCATCTCTATGTCAACTTTTACTTTCCACAACAATTTGCAAATACTCATCATTCTCTTGGAATCTCATTAAACTAGGAGTTTCGTTAATCTTAGAAAAGATTCCAGTCTCACATGTCTCATCATACCAGACAAATTAGTTTATCAGCATTTTCTTGCTATCCTTGAACTCAGGGTGAATTTCTGTTCCATCCTTTGCAACTCAGTGCCATGGCTGCCATTCTCTGTGGCCTGCCTGTTATCTGTTCTCTCATCTAAAATAACTTCTCTTTTTCTTTTCTTTATTTTCAGTATATAAACTGAGTCAGACACACCTGAAAAAATGTGCTACAATTTAAAATAAATTATCTTTAGCAATTTTTGTTTTCTCTTATTCCTTAAATGACAGCTACTAGAAGGAGCAGTCTGAACATTAATCTTCAGACTACTCCTTCTTCTCTCATTCTATTCCTTACCCACTTCAAGGTGTAATCTATAGCCATCATCTATAAGAATGTGACTTGCCAAGATGACAATGATGCTATGCTAAGCACAATGGGTGTTTTTAACTTATCACCTTAAGCCTCTGAAGATTTATCAGTGTAATAAGGTTTCCATTTTTTGATATTGCTTTCTTTATTGAAAAAATCCATACAATATATCCTGATCACAATTTTCCTCCCACAGCTCCTCAAAGACTCTCCCTACCTGCTCTCCCACTTAACCCCATGCCATTTCCCGTCTCTGTATCTAGAAAACAAATAGTCAAACAAAACAAACCAGAATTTAAAATAGCAGCAACAACCAAAAAACAAAACAAAACAAAAAACAAGCAAAAAACAAGAAACACACACACACAATCAGAAAGCATAATGTACAAAAGACCAATAAGACAAAAAAAATGCCCAAATAAGCAATATGAGACAAAAGGTCTATAAAAGTACCATTAGGTTCCTTTTGTGTTGTCCACCTACTGCTGGGCATGGAGCCTACACATAAGTGTAATTAATATACTCAGTGAGATTCCATTGGAAAAAAAAACATTTTTTCATATTGCAAACAAATGTTAATTGGAGAGTTCTTCACTGTCATCTGGTTTACCACTGTTTCTTGACTGCTTGCTTTCTGTCTCTCATCACTTTGCTACTATTTGTGTTGATCTGATTGATAGCTTCCCAATAAGTATTCTTCTGTAACTCAGTGTGGTCCATATAGTATATAGTTGTGATAAGATTGCTTGAGAACTGATTGTGGGTGTGTTTCTGTTAGAGTCCACATTAAGCTAAGTGTAACTATATACCACACTAGAAAATGGTCATTTTATGTGTGCCATCAGGTTGATTGTCAATCTTTATATTAAGAAATATCAGCAGTTTCACATCTCTTATTCAAAAGATCTGGTTCAGGTCTCTTGGAGATTCAGTCATCATTCCATTCACATAATGGCTCCCAGGAAAATTTCATATCTTAGATCCTTGAATGACTTCTATATCTAATCCTGAGCAATGTTCCAAATTCATCAATTCAATTCTTTTATGCCAGACCAACTTGATTCCCTAGACAATTCAAATTCTTCGACTATCCCACAGATGAACTGACTAACCTTTCTCCCCTTAAATGTATCTTTCAGCTAAGTCTTGTATAGTGTGGACAGACCAACTTTCCTAATCAGTTACTCGACCAGAAATTGACCATCATCATCATCGTTTTTTTTCCTCATCATCTTGTTGGTATGCTCAGCCTGGTATCTTCTAAGTACTTCTTACATGTAACCCCAAATAAATCTCAGTAGGTCAATCTTTAGTTTAAAGGCCATTTGAAGATGTCTTATCATTGGAGGCAAATGCAACATTCTTTTGATAATACACAGGAGCTTCATGGTCTGAGTTTCACTAATTCAACTTTCTTTCTCATCACATCTCTTTCCTCTTATCCAAATTTACCCCTAACTCAAACCTTGTGTAACGACTTGCAAGATAAATCACCGGTTGTTGTTGTTTTGGTTTGTTTGTTTGTTTTGTTTTTTGACCTTGCATACTCCTTCCTAATAACTAAATGGTCTCTAATTTTCATGACTTACCTAAGCTCAGCTCAACTTGTCTTTCTCAAAATGTCCAGCCTCCTTAGTATTCTGACTGCCACTTTTCCAAAGTTTTTACAGATTTGTGTTAAAAATTATCTACTTATTTCCATGAGTATTCAGTTACTGTCAGACCTTTAGTGGCAGATATGTAATCTTCTATTACCTTGTGTGTAACATGACCATTGTGGAATATAGGTTTTTGTGGTGAGTTGCAGAATGTGTAATCCTGTAGTCATGGTAACAGAATAAATAGAATAAAACAGTGATAGCCAGGTCTAAGAAAATGGGTCTTGAAAAAGCAACCGAGGAAGAATAACCAAAGATATTCATCTGGAGTTCCACCTACCATTCACTCCTGCCTTCCAGTCCACATAGTCTTGGGAAAGGCAAGAGTATATAGGAACTTAAGGTTTACTGCAGGTGGGGCATCATAACACATGTCCATCAGTTCATTGCCCATGATGGGATGAGAATGTATGACAATATATGTTTCTCTGTTTTAAGTTGTCCATATTTCAGTAAGCAACCTCTAATTCATATTCATATATTTAATCCCAATCAATTCACTGGTTCATGAAGTTGAACTTGGATAAAATAATTTTTTTCACCTGTCATTGTTACCCTATCTTGGCCATGAGATGTCTGTTCACTTCTCAGGGAAAGCAATGCAACAGTAAGGACCATATCCAATTCATTTTGTGTCCTTTACCTTTAGTCAAAATAAAGTGCTAGGAGTTGAATATTGCCTCCGAAAACATAACAACCCCAATGTCTCATAATGTAACCAGGATTCCAGAGCGACATAATGAGGCCCTATGTTATAAACAAAATAGAAAAAGAAAAGGAAGCAAGCAAGCAAAGATGGAAGGAATGAAAAGGAAGGAGAGGAAAAGGAAAAGGAAAAAGAAAAACAGTAATTTGGAAACTGTAATATGAATCTTAAATGGTCTTATTAATTGGAAACCTGGAACCACATATTGGGGTGAAAACTGAGAGATCAGAGACTAGAAAAAGCCACAGCCAACCTGACCTCACCAACTCCTCAGCCTCCAGAGAGCTACTTCCTATATACTCATCCCTATATCCTTTCTGTGCCCTGCCATCTCACTTCTGTTCTCCACCCAGCTCTATCACTTCCTCTTTCTGCCCAGCTCTATCACTTCCCGTTGGTCTGTACAGAACTCCAGACATCTATGGTTAACTAGTGCTGGGAATTAAAGGCATGTGCCACCATGCTTGGCTCTGTTCCCAATGTGGCCTTGAACTCACAGAGATCCGAATGAATCTCTGCCTCCCGAATGCTAGGTTTAAGAGCATGTGCTACCACTGCCTGACCTCTATGTTTCATATGGTGCCTGGCTTTTTCCTCTGATCTCCATGCAAGCTTTATTTATTAGAGCACAAATAAAATATCACCACTGGAAACAGATGTATGGTGGGAAGACAATAGAAGAATGAGAAAGAATAAATGTAACAGTGAAGACAGGCATTGGTGTCATACACTTGCACATGAGGAATGCCAGAAGTGTCTGACAAACCACCTAAAGCTAGAAGAGCTGGGACCATTGCCCTCCAATTTTCAGAGAGTGATTCTATTGGCACCTTGAATTTACTTCCATCTGGTGAAACTGCGAAACAAAAAAAATTTCAGTTACTTTAAGCAACATCACTCATGGTACCTTGTGGTGGCTGCACTGAAAAGTTAGCACATGGAAGGATTACAGTGTCACAGAATAGAGACTGACAGACCTTTCAAAGATGAACCAAGTACTCGGGAGTACCGAAGGCTTAAACATTCTGCTTTCACAATGTAAACAGATGGTGACAATCTATGATGGTAAAATTCAGGTGACAGTGAGAAGGATGATGATGATGATGATATATTTTTTTCCTGTGTTGTTGGGGCTACTGAGCATATATCCACAAAACATTTAAAAACGGATTATTAAGAATACAAAAATGTTATTCACCATCATTACTATTATTATGCAACATGGCTTTGGGGAAACATGTATACTTTGACTATTTTGGCGTGGGTCTCAAGAACCCAGCTGGCAGACGAGGTGGAGATAAAGTAGGGAACAATGGAAGGAGAGCCATTCAGATCAAGGTTCCATTGGTCACGGAGAAAGGAGAGTCACCTCTGGTACACTGCCTTATCACAGACAGTCTGTCCACTCCTATTTTGCACCATGATGAATAAAGCATAATTCATTTTATGCTAGAACAACGAACACAGTGATTTCTAGCTAAATCACAGGCAAAACACAGCTGTAGGAATTAGTGGCCATTAAAGCAGGCCATGAACACCAAGGCATTTGCACTTTGCTGACGGATACTGCTATTTTATTTTTGGAAACTTGCCTGCAGCTATCCTGGCTCTGGGTTTTTGACAGGCGTCATATATTGCTATTGCCGAAGAAAATTTAACTTTAAAAAAATCAAGTAGCCTGAGGGTTTGGAATCATACTTAAAGTTTTAATAAGTTGTCAAAAAATACTTTTCAGTATTTGTAACTGGATTAAACTCTGGATTTATATTTATACTATCCAATGTGCAGTGCCATTAACACTTTGTTGTACCAAAACAGTTCATAGGCTTACTATCAGGTCTATGTTATGAGAAGAAGGAGACATGACCTGACTCCTGTCTATTTTCTTTAGTCTAGAAAGACCTGTAATATCTTGAATATATATTGCCTAGAACTATATTGAAATATGTGAATTTTTGTTGCTTTCAATTTGACCATGCAAATAAATTTCTCAGAATAAACTTTTTAAAAAGCCAATAATTACCTATAAGTCACTGAAAAACCTAACATCAAAGAAGGATGGGAAAAAGAGAAGTGGATAAGGAGTGTGAGAAAGAGAGAGGGTAAAGGGAAAGAGGAAGAGAGAAAAATGGGAAAGAGAAGTGAGGAGGAAGAGAGAGAAGGAGAGAAGGAGGAGGGAAGAGGGCAAGAGAAGGCATCATCTTGTTAAGACAGGGGTGATAGGGCTAGCCAGAAGGCTCAGTGACTAAGAGCATGGAAGGTTCTTGCAGAAGACTCCACTTTGTTTCCCAGAAACTATGTTGTAAGGTTCGCAGCTGACTGTAACTTCATCCATAGGGAAGCCAGTGCCTCTGTCTTCTGGCCTCTGGGGACACTGGCATTCACATGCATATACCCACATACATATACACATAGAAAGATACATAATTATAATAAAATCATCTTAAAAGCTTATTGGAGTGGTGGCATCAGTGACTAAGTTAACCAAAAGAGGCTTCAGAACTGATTTTTTTTTTAAATCATTGTCATCTGATCAAATTTGTTACTAATGAAATGCAGATTATTTGTTTGATTTAAATATGTACATTATCTGGGCGCCTGGAGGTCGAGTGTAGAATAAGAGACAATGGCTATGGTGGATTAGGTGTACAGAGAGTAGATGCTGTCCTCCTAGAATGTTTGCAGATCGCATTATAGTAATAGAGACAAGACATTCTAATCAGCAGAACACATTTTTAAGTCTGCATCTTTCTCTTGTGAATGTTATCCTTTCTCCAAGATATTTATTCTGCCTGAATGTCAGTTTCTTCACATAAAATACACCCAGTAACTATGAAAAATACTGAGAAAAATAATGCCTGATGTGATTCACTGCTAGGGAATTTAGCTAAGAAAATGTCTGAGGAGCATCTCCTGTAATTGTTTTGATTGGATAACCACTTTTTCTTTTCTTATTACTCATACTTGGCAACTAGAACCAACAGAGGGGCTGTAGTAGACACTGAGGACTTAAACATTTTAGGCAGAAGCCGGGCGGTGGTGGCGCACGCCTTTAATCCCAGCACTCGGGAGGCAGAGGCAGGCGGATCTCTGTGAGTTCAAGGCCAGCCTGGGCTACCAAGTGAGTTCCAGGAAAGGCACAAAGCTACACAAGAGAAACCCTGTCTCGAAAAACAAAACAAAACAAAACAAAAACAAACAAACATTTTAGGCAGACAAATAAATAGGACAAATGTCTATCCCTCGGACAGCAGTTCCTCATGGGTGGAGATGATGAAAAATACCTGAGCAAAACAACTTCAAAGAAGAAATGGTTACTTTGAGTCGTGGTTTGAGTGGTCTTAGTCCTTGTGACAGAGAAGGCATGGAGAAGCAGCCTAGTTCATGACTTTGAGAGCAGAAGGCAGAGACAGGAATGAAAAGTGGCTCTAACCTTCACAGATCCACCTGGAGTGACCTAGTTCTGCCAGAGAGCCTTCATCATCTGAAGATTTCAAAACATGCAACATAGCACCTTCTGTTGGGGCGCAAACATTCCAAACATGAGCTTATTAGAGACATTTCAAATTCACACCACAATAGCTACAGTATTGTAGCACAAATCCTTATGGGTCTTAATAATAAAAACCCAAAGCCAGATATTGAGGTAAATACTGAAAGATCAGTAAAGGAACCAGCCACTAGAGAGACTTCTTAATGGCTGGATCTTTTTTTGTTTTTTTAAGATTTATTTATTTATTATGTATACAATGTTCTGCCTGCGTGCCACCACGTGGTTGCTGGGAGTTGAACTCAGGACCTCAGGAAGAACAGCCAGTGCTCTTAACCTCTGAACCATCAGACTTCTTAACTCTACCAAATCCTCAGGCAGAAAGGGCCAAGCTCCTGTCTCCACCCCTCCTTATCACTTTCTTTCTGTTTCCTCTTCCCAAGTGCTAGGATTAAACGTGTGTGCCACCACTGCCTGGCCTCTAGTGGCTACCTCTGCACTCTGATTCACAGACAAGTTTATTTGTGAGAGCACAGACAAAAGATTATCACAACAGTATATCATAGTTAGCCTTGACACAGTTCGCTGGGAAACAGAAAGAAGATACAGAAGTTGGCTGTGTGGGCTTAAAGCTTTAAAATTTATTCTTGAGGATCTTTAAAACTTCACAAAAATGCAGAAATAATTTTGTACAACTGTACTGTCAAAACGCCAAATGCATGTTCAACAAATGAGAATTTGAGGAGATTCCTCAAAGATGTCAACGGTTTTCTAGAGTGAAATAGGCAATTTAGATGTATAGTAAGAGATGGATAGATAAATAAATTAAAATACATAATTAATATACTCTACAAAGCACAGATAACTTTAATCCTCAATATGTAAACATTTTATATCTATTTCATCACTAGGTCATATTGTAAGCATCTAAACT